AACACCCTTTTGAAACATCATAAAATTCTGAAAATGAATCATGAACAAATGCCAAGATTGAGTGAAAGGTTTCAATGAAAAGGTATTATGAACAGGCATGTGAAAAGCTGATGTTTTTCAAAATCGTGCAACATGCAATCGATTTCACCCTTTGTATAAATTGATTGCACAATGTTTCAACAGCTATATTCTCAAAAGTTTTAAGTGTGCAATCGATTGCATAAGCAATGTCAATCGATTGCATGTATAGTCAGTAGCAAAAATAGGTGAGTGCAATCGATTGCACAAGCAATGTAAATCGATTGCATGAGAAACAGAAGCAAACGTTTTGAAAATTTTAAGTATGCAATCGATTGCACAAGTAATGTAAATCGATTGCACTGAGAAACAGAAGTAAAAGATCTGAATAATTGAAGCATGCAATCGATTGCACTAATATGCAAATCGATTGCACTCAAGTAAAAAATGAATTTTCTTTGAAAAACTTGAGTAATGATTTATAAAACATTTCTTATTCACCATTGAGCATCTATATCTTAAGATCAAAATAAATAATACCATTATACCTTGAAAGTTGTTAAAGATTTTGCCAATAGATGCTTTGAGCTTGATCATAAATCTTTGCCTTCTTTGTCAATCATGATTTGTCTTCATCAAAACAAAAGTTCATTTGAGAAGCTTGATTTTACAAGATAAACTTTCTCCAGGCGCGAACTTCGCTCTATTCAAATAGTTGCAACCAAAGGCTATACCACGTAGCTTACGGGGTAGACATACTCTGAACTCTATCTCCCCGAGAGACGAGAAGCAATTGAAATGTTCTTCGTGAAACAAATTCCAGTCTTTGCTCGAGTGGCCACGCATAAAATGACCCCGTCTTTCGACGCGAAGAAAAACCCTGACTAAACTGTGCTCACCATACGAAGAAGTTGGTCTTAAGTCATAACACTTTTTTCGTCGGAAGTAACGACTTGGGGGGCTCCTGTTCTGGACTGGGCCTGCACTTGGCCCACACATCATACAAGGCCCAATCCAACTATACTGCATGAGAAGGCCAGCGGGAAAGAGTCTCCCCTCGACCATGTCGGGCAAAGATTTCACTCTTTTGATCGACCAGACTTTGTCCTACGGGGATAAACCCACGAGTGGTGAGGAGGAACATACCCACTCAAGAGTTCCTCTGTGCATTGTCCACTCTTCTCGTCGACCAAGACATGTCCTCCGGGGACAACCTCACAACTAGCAAGGAGGACCAACGACGGTCAGAAGAACCTCGCGAGCATCCTCCTCATAAGGCTGACACTCAACACCTCTAAATATCATGGAGTCTCCTTGACCCCGAAAAGACCGCATCCATATCTTCCTGATAGTTCAGAGGACTCCATCCAGATTGAGACCACATGCTGGTCTCCACTACGCACGTAGGACTTGGCAATCTCCCTTTTGGACCTGCTTGCTCAGCCCAGCAATAGGGATCTTGGCCCAGCGTCGGAAGATAAAAATACTCTCTCACTTGAGAGAGTCAGATATTCATTCTCTTACTCATACTCTCATACTTGCTTGCACTTGCTCTGAATCTCACTTTGGCATTGAAGTGTCTTACAGGTATCTCCACATCCACTTCACATTCAACTGCTACTCAAGTTGAAGCTTGTGAGCTTTGATAATCTCTTCTGATCACATATGATCACTTTCTGTAATAAATTTTTTTCCTTATAATAATATTTTACATTCTCCCTTGTAATGACTAAATTCAATGAATTTAGCTTCTGATTGATTATTTTAATTTTTTTATCCTACGTGATTGTCCATGTGGATTTTTAAAATTATTTATTTCTTAAATTGTCACAAGGCAATTTTTAATTTAAAAAAAAAATAAATTATTATTACTTTGTAATTTTTTTAAAAATAAATAAATTTTTTTATTACAAGGGGATAAATGAAAATTCGTTAATTTCTTTTAATTTTTTTATTTATTTAAAAAAAATTCCAGGACAAATTTACTCTCACTCACAATATTTCCCGAACCACTTTCTCTTCTTCTTCCTCCATGAAATTCACCACTATATAATTTTAATAACCTCGATATTAAACGCTGCTCAGGACGCTGCTGAGAGTTGATGGAAGCTTTGTAATTTTCGAAAGAGCTGGGAAGGTGAAATGGCGTCGTAGAGTGTGTCTAGGGCTTGAGAGTTTTTGGAGATATGAGAGGGATTGTTTGAAGAGAGGTTGTGGGTTGTCAGGACGGTGGTTTCCGTTGAAGTCTTCAATTTAAAGATTCGAAGGCTAAGTATTTTCATCGAGTAACGCCTGTTGGTTATTCATGTGTTGTTTTTGGTTGGATGATGATTCTTTCGATATTGGGTTGGATTGTTCTTGTCTTTATTTTTAGTTTGAAGAAATCTAGTACATTTGACCTCAATTTTATTGAAATTGAATATGTTAGTATTCATTCGTTACTGTCGGTAAAGTTTCTATTGTTGAAATGAGATATCATTGTGATGAATGAATTGGTGAGTATGTATGGAAAAGTTAAGAGAATGGAAGATGCATGTCGTGTGTTTGATGGAGTGGTTATGAGAACTGTTCTGTCAGAATTATATCGTATCTCTGCGTGCGTGTATCTGGACTATTATTGTTGTTCTAATTCTATTTAACATAGGAGTGGCTTCCTCACTCAGGTGTCTGTTACGGATTGCAGGTATAATATAGTACATATGTAAATTACATTCTGCAGTTACATTCTGCAGTGAATTTCATCGAATATGGCTTAAGTGGTTAAAATTGACGGTAACAAATTTTATTCCTTAAAAAGCTTCTCCTTGCTCCTATGTTTCAACTAATGGAAATTAATAGGATAATAGGGAATGGATACATAAGAAATTCATTAAGCCAATTAGGAGACATTGGAGAATGTTTGATATTCTGTAAAATCCAAGAGATATTTAAACTACCTGATTGAATTCGATGATTTATTTTTCTTTCTATGTAATTTTGTATATAAGCCAAAAGATATTTAAAATGTGTAATTGCTCATATAATTGAGAGTTCACTAAAAGTATTTTGACAGGGATCAAATACTAGCTATTGGTTCATATACACTAACATGCCAGCTCAACTTGTTTCATGGCAACTACTATTGTACGTGACAAGTTGTCAACAAAAACAAGACGTGTTTTGATTCTTGCCACACGCACAGTTTCTGCAATCTTTGACGAATAAGATTTTTCCTAATATTTTTCTCATGTTACTCGTTTCCCACTACATAATAAAATGTGTTTGTATGTTCATATCTCACGTGTATAAATAAATCAATCATCATGAAATCCGATTCAGCAGAGCCACTTTGTTTTGCTTTCTCTTGCAAAAATGACTTTGTTTTTCTTTTGTTGCTTCTCTGAATCCTCTGAACCCAAAGACTTTGTATGCCATGGTGATGTCTGTATATTAAGAGATCGAAAGAAGTACCAAGCAAAAAAGTCAAAGAGCAAACAATAGTGAAAGGTTTATCTAAGGATATAATAGATTTTTCCATTAACTAGAGCCAATAAACCCTTCCAATTGTTTGAATTTGCACTGAGTTTGACAAAATCATGGTAAGCTATGTCATTCAAAAATGACCATGAAGGAGGTGGATGAAGATTTTGTTTTTCATTTATAATTCCACATCTTTACCCGAATTCCGATTTTTATGTAGGATACAGCTTGGAAAGATTAAATGAAAACTGATTCATACTTTGTACTTCACTTTTTATATCATTATATGTTTGTCAAGAATTGATTGCATAAACAATGTATTTTGCAGAAATTCTCTCAAAGAATACTTTCTGATATTACCTATTGTTTTACCAATGGGTTGTGCAATCCTTGATCATAATAAGAATCACAATCATGACTAACAAGAACTTAATCATAATTTGTTGGGCATTACTTTTTCAACCCTTATGTAGTGCTCTTTCACTCTTGTGAAAAACTAAAAATGTTATTAAAATTCGAAAAATGTATTTTCAGATGCAACTCAAATACACCAAATTCATGTATAAGTGAATCACACTCTAATTTTGTCGGGAAAAAAATGGTCTGAAATTTACTTCCTGAATAAATCTGAAAAATTTACTTGTCAAATACACTAAATTCATGCGCACACCCTAATTTTGTCGGAAAAAAAAGGTCTGAAATTTACTTCCTGAATAAATCTGAAAATTTACTTCCGTATAATTTGATTGCATTACTATGCACCTGCTCATTAAGATGATGTTGAAAAGCTACTTTAACTATTGTAGCTCAAAATGCACCTGAGCATGTTCATGAATGGAATAATGGCCAATGGGTCAGTATGAAGTGATGAGCAGGTGTTGATGCAATCAAATTCTACGGATGTGATGAAGGGCATTTTCGAATTTACATATGGTAGCTCTCCACCTCTAAGGGTGAGAGAAGTAATCCCCTAATTTGTTTGTTGAAGCAACCTAATAGAGTTAAAATTAGACAAAGGAAGCGAGCAATGGTTTTCCATTAGTAACAAGTAAATCAAATGTACAAATTAATGACATAATTATGATGCACTACCACCAATTCTAATACAATCATCAAATGAAAGAAATATCTAGGCAACCGAATTTTCATCAATTAGTATACAAATAAATATACAAGGCATCAACAACATTTTGTTGCCTTCTACCTGCTGATCATAATCAATTGACAGGCAGCTTTTGCTACGGCTTTATTTCCGGGGAGAGGCCATTGATATTGCTGCGGTCCTTTGGAAAACATGGCAAGTCGTTAGATTATTTTTATTCTTGTCCACCAAGGTCTTCTGAACTTTCAAACTTACTTTGCTTCAGGACCAACTTGTGCTAAATCCCAACTCAGGCAAACTATTTGCCGTCTCATATTTAATCAAGCCTTTTAGGATCAAAATTCAGCATCGATCACAGGAGCTACAAATCCCACTAGTCCAATTCCAGTCGATACAACCAAACTATTATACAAATGACTCCTCATAGTTGCAAAGCTAGGTCTGGTTGCTGTGAATCAACGGCACCAGAAGATTGTTTTGCAGGTGACCCTGGAGATTGACAATCAATATTCAAGTCAGGCGGAAGAGTTTCCTGTTTCTGCCTTGGTTGGCTTTGAGGACTGAGACCCTGCCAAGAGGTCTGCATTTGAAATCTAGATTGGTCTGCGGATGCTGATTGTGGGATAACCATAGGCCGCTTGGGAAACTGCGAAACGGCATCTACATGACTAGGTTGAGGTCTAGGGGAATGAAATGGAAAATTGTTCTTATTAGACTGGAAAGACATTCCACCGGAAGGAAACTCTCCCTGAATTCGAGAAATATGCTGATGGAACTCTCTTGTTGAGTTGTGAAGAGAATCTGCAGAAATCTGATTTTTGGATGAACCAGAATTCTCAGGTCCTAGTTTAAACCCTCCTGCCCCTGCAGACATCCATGTCTGAGCAGCTGCTGCTGAAGCATTGCCTGAGGCATCTCTTAGCGCAGATGGAGCTGATGGTATTTGCGGAAGAGTATCAACTGGTGAATGGTGAGAAGTCTGCGGCTTTTGAGCCTCTTCTTTGAACGTTCTTATTGACTTAGCTGGATCACTAAAACCCTGCTCTTGCCCACAGAAAAGAAAAGGATCTGCTCTGGTTGTTTGGTTTGAGGTACTATCTGATGATGGATGGGTTGACCGATTATTCAAGCTTGTATTCATGACTTTCGCATCAGGCAAGTCTCCACCGACAACTTCATTAGTATCTGGCTGCTTGAAATTTGTAGATCGCAAAGTTTTCAAGTTCCTAGGCGCCATCTCTTTGGTCTTAGACTCTGTTATAGGAGTATTATTTCCAAACTTAGCAACTAGACTGGAATTATTTTGATTACTTGAGGGTAAAGATTCCAGCTCCACTTTCTTCAAACTCTTATTCTCAGGTATGCCTAAATTCCTAGAATGGGAATTCTGCTGATTTGGGATGTTGGGAGGAGAAGCATTGGGCTTCACTCCAGCGGAACCAATAGAAGGATTTCCTTCTAATGCAGGCCCACTGGCAGGACAATCTGAAAATTGCTTTCCCTCAACCATCCATCCATTTACAGGATGTTCAGTTTTAGGTTCCTCGTCCTTACAATTTTTGTCATCATTCGACTTTGAAATCAAACTAGTTTCCTTCTGTAGATGATTAGCAAGCTTAAATATTGGGGTTGGAATCGGTTCATACTCTCCAACCCAGCCACGACCAAATTTACAGTCGGCGGGAAGTGCCTGTTGAATCCTTTGGGAAGCAATTTTCCAAACAATGGGTCCTAGAGATGCACTAAAACGAGCCAAACTCCTAGTATAGGAATATTCAGCATGGACGCCAACCTGTAGCCCAAAAATACAGTTATAATGTGTTAACATTACAAGTAGAAGAAATCCAACTATTCAAGAATTAAAATAGTGTCCTTTTGATTGATACATACAGTAACCAGCTGCCTCATTCCACTCTCAAAGGTCATACATATTGAATCAGGTCTAGTGGTTAGTTGATTAGACGTATTATAAGATCCACGACGATTCTCGTCAAGCACAAATGACTTCCTTCCCATCTTAGAGAGAATATTCTTCCCTGGAACAAGGGGGGAAATAATCAAAATGGAATAACCCGATCTTGACATTAGTATCATACATGAAAGGCGTATTACAGCATATTCACTTCTTTGGGATAGATACCTGATAAAACATCTTCAGCTTTATCGTGATTTGCATCAATAAAGAAAGCATTCCCCTCCACAATACCATCAATGGTGCCAGGCCTCTCACAGCTACTACCACCTTGCATTGGATAGGAAGTTGGTTGTACATCTCCATAGGATGAATCAAAGACAACAGATTCTTGTGAGGCCCAACCCGGTGGCTTTTTCAATGACTTCTTAACCGAAGAACTAGACTGTGTTTTCTGTTCTGATTTTGGCTCAACCTGAGTACGTTCGAATTTAATCCTTAACTTTTCAAACTTCTTCCGGCCAAGTTCTTGTATTGTTCGTGCCTGTAGCAAATATAAAGGTAAAAAAAAAGCATGGCAAATGGCTAGTCTGGCCATATTTGTTCGTAACAGAACACAAAGAAGCATTGAGCTTTATACCTGTCTGTGGTATACAGTCTCCGGTGCATTGTATTGCATTGCATTTGAGCAAATTAAAAATATATCACTCTGCATTCAATAATTACATTCAAGTCAGTGTGATAACAATAGAACCTTTTGTCTTGCAGTTTGTAATTTAGAGAGGAACAAAAAAATTAACATAAACAAAGAAAAAAATTTGGAATTTTATGCAATAGTGGAATCTAGTAGAGATGCAAGTCGATTCTTACATTTCTGGAATACCATGTATCACAGTTGCCATTGATCAAAAAGCATTAATAAATTGTCAGTACGAAGAAAAGCCATACTAGTTAGAGAGAAAAATGCTGCCTTAATGCCTATTAAAAATCATTATAAATAGTAGTAATTCTGAAGCCTAAACTGTGTTATCACAGAACTCCTCAACGGCTTAATTACAATATTCTAGAACCAACTAATAATAAGATTTTAATTACAGACACTGACACTCATTCATAGGCAATTGATATTTAGAACCCAGAATCTAGTATATATCATCATTATCACCTGAGTTAACACCTCCGAAGAATAGGAAGCCAGAAACAAAAAACTATAAGCAAAACAGTATGAATTTTAGACTTTTGACAACAGATTTCTTGTATCTATACAGACTGCAACATACAAATAAATAGACAATGGTGCCAATAACAATTAGACATCGTTTGTTACTAGAAAACGTTTTGCAATCTCATGCTCATTAGATGATTTAAATAAGATCACAGTACAGGGATAAAATTGTTTTAAGGTCCTACATCCCTAAGAGCTTAATGCAATATTAATACTAAGTTAGACAGTCAAAATTCATTGCTAGTCAAGAAACAATCAAATATGAAATGGAAATACTTTCTTCCACTTTTTGGGTTAAGGTAGATCCTGTTATTAATACAACCATTGCTCAAATCCAGTACACCAGTGGGAGAAAACACAAGTATCTTAAGTCTAAAATACAACCATATAAAGCACTAAATCCCAAATGATTCTATTCATATTACACTCCTCTAGGCATTCTGTTTGGAAACCCTCAAAAGTACATGAAGGATTACAATGTATCTGTTAGATATACCCTGTAATTGAATTCCCGGTTCCTATCAGGGTAAGGATCCTCTACCTTTTGGGAGGGAAAGGCAGAGTGACTTTAGGCCAAAAAATGAATAAGACAAAAGAGATAGAGATATGATGATTATTTTGGAAGGAAAAAGATGTGAGAGAAAGTAAATCATGAAAGAGATAGAGAGGAAGTTAGAGAAAGGTAGAGAATTGAAAGTTAGGGGATCCAAATCCGTTCCTATCATCAGTATCAAGTCATTTCAAGTATGTATTCATAAATCCTGACAAGTCAATAATCTCGAGGACAAAATAATAAACATGAGATGATGCATTAACTAGTACTCCGATGTTTTGTTTGCATAACAAGTATTTAACTATACATGGCCAAACTGTTGCTAACAAGTTCAGGTAATGTCTCTACATAAGAGCACAATCAACATCAATTTCATCGCAAAATACCCAAAATCTAAAAGAGAAAAAGAGAACTACCACTCATTAACAGCTTTGTATACCTCAAATTGTTCTAAGGTAGGATAAGATCCATTCGCCAACTTCTTTCTCGCCGTGGTGAAATCCATGGGATGCTCAATGACATCGTGGTAATCAGGAAGCTGCATGTTAAAACAGAATTTGAACTTCCAACTCAAAGGAGTCTTCCAAAAGCAAGATTACCAAGTCACATGAAGAAAATTCCACACACCTCTTCTGGATCAACTGGCTCCGCAAACACGCCATATATGTCCTTCCTGCCAATCATTCCGACCCACAACAGTAGCAAATCATCAGAAAATAAACAGTACCCTAAAACACACACTGTTATGCAAATAAAACAACAACAACCAAGCCTTGTCCCCTTAAGTGGGATTGGCTACATGAATCAACTTTCACCAAAATGTTCTATCCTGCAGAATCATGCAAATAAAACAGTACCCTAAAACACACACCATTATGCTGTCATTCAGATAATCATAAACACCAAACCAAAACAAAAATCCAGAATCGCAAAACCAAAACACATACTTCTGAAGCTTGTCGAGAATCAATTCCAATATCTTCCTATCAGGCAACGGAATCCCATGCAGATAATTCGCCGGAGTTCCTATCAATAAAAGATTAAACAAACCTAGTAAAGTTTCAGAAACACAAAAAGGCTAACTTTCAACACCCTTTCAGTACATATATCACTTTTCCTTTTTCAATTTTTTAAAATGAAAAGACAAATTTGCACCCTTAATCAGTAAAATCACACAAACCTGAAACAGAAATTGAGTGGAGCCCTTTTGAATCCACTTTTGTTCCCTTTATCTGTCATCATTAGAAACAAAATCCACACATTACTCAATTAATTACATCCAAAAACCCAAAATTGCACTTGCATATATATATATATAGAAAATAGAAAATCTGATACAGCCACAAAACATCACCACAAAAAAAAACCATAGACTCACATAAAAACAGTGCCCTAGGAATTTTATTTTATAGTATAAATAAATGAATAATAAATAATCTATATCTATGTATTTATCTATATTCTATATATACATATAGAGCTAGAGAGAGAAGAGATCAGAATCTTGTAGAATGTAGTTTTGACAGTTGAGAAGTTAGTTATACTTTCTCTCTCCTGAATTTCTAGAGAGAGAAAACCTAGAGAGAGAACCTAGAGAGAGGAAACAGAAATAGATCATTTGAGTGACACTAACAAACAGTGAAATCAAGCACTATTACCACAGCATCTTCTTCATGCTTTTCTTTTTCTTCTTCTTCTTCTTCATTCTCTACTTCTCCTTCAATTTCATTGCACTCTTCTTCTTCTTCCGTTGGCGCGTGATCTTCAGATTCTTGCTCTTGTTCACCTTGGTGTAGCTTCGTCATCAATTTGAGCTTCTTCTTCTCTCTCCTCCTCTCATCTTCTTCGTCGTCGATGTAATCGCCGTCGTAGTCGATTATGTTGTACCTGACGTTCTTGCGGCGGAGGCTACGGCGGGAATCGGATTCCGTTGCGGAGGCTTGAGCTTCGGCGGCACGGCGAGCTAGATCCGCCTTCGACGGCCTTCCTTTCTTCCGTTTAGCGACCTGAACCATTTTTTCTCTCTCTCTAGAAATTATTCAGTACTTTCTCTCACTAGAGAGAATCAGTTTCTTTCTGCTTTGGTTTTTTCTCTCTCTAGAAAAAGGAGGTGATTTTCTCTCTCTTGTTTGGTTATAGTTTTTGGTGTGGTGAAGGTTCGGATTTTTGAGAGAGGTTCGGGTTGGTTTGGATTGTTCCAGAGTGAGGTTCGGTTATACGAACGTGAGGTTCGGTTTAGGCAAGTGGGGGTAAAAGTAACCTAATATTAATGATTGCTTTTAGAAGTATTTGTTGTTGTTAGAAAAAATAAATTTATTCAGAAAAAAAAAGAGAGTTTGTGTTGCACGCGCGTAAACTCCACAATCTTAATGTTTCATTTGGGAATTTCTTTTGTTATCTAGTGTGGTCTTCTTCTAGGTCTTTAGTTAAAAACTCAAAATATTTTCAGATTTTGCATATGTAAATGAGAAAGTACTGTAATGTATAATAACAAATGACTTCACATGTGCATTTGCGAATTAATCTATAATTTATTAAAAATAGGGTGACTTCGCATGTGTATCTGCAAAATTACTCATAATTCCTCCTTTCATATGTGCACATGTGAAGTCTGTGAATTGAATTCAACAAAACAAACAGAACAAATTTCTTAACCCTGTTAGTTGAGAGGTGGCACAAAGAGACGTCGTCTTTCTACTTTTCTGTTGAGGAGATGACCATCACACTTGATGATGTTGTTTGGTTGCTCCACATACCTATCAGAGGCAGGTTACTTAACCATCACAAGATAACACGAGCTAAAGCGGTTGAATGGATGGTTGAGTATCTCGGAGCTGACATATTATGTTTTGATTAATTTGTACTTACATATTATGTTATTGTTTTCACAGAGTTGGATCATCTCTCACTTCCACCAGATTCATGGTTTTGAACCAGATCCGGTTTATAATAAAGACATCCAAGGGTTGCAAAGTATGTCCTCCATAGAGGGGTTCATAAAGTGTCGCCTTATCGGGTGTATCTTGATTGTACTAATCATGATGACATCAAATGGGCGTCATTTGAGGATTACAAAGATGTTGTCTCATTCGATTTCATCTCATTATACTCTGGATGGCTAACATGTGGTCGAATCTTATGGTCAGGTATCTTCCAGAGAAGTGTATCCGACAGTTTGGTTATGTACAAATGATACAGAGATCTCCTTTTCAGACTGCTCCCAACACCATTGTCAGGCGGGATCTCGATGTCATCTTCAAGGATTGAGAGAATCATTTGGTGCCATAGGAGTATCGGATAATGTCGACATCTGAGAGTTGGCATTGTGTAGAGGGTTACGTAACATAGTTCTTTAACGTGTCACACCTTATCATGACATCAGATGGTCCTGGACATCCGCCTAGGTCGATTTCTGAGGAGCTCTTGGAGAACCAACAGGTTGAGGATGACCATGTCACTGATCTCTTATCGGCCACTCAGCGGATACACCTACTTGGCCATGATGCATTGGATTCCGGTATCATCGAGAGAGGTAGTCCTGAGGCGCTTTTCATAGTTAGGAGGATGGTCAGTGAGGCATCTAGTGCGGCTAAGTACATTCGACAGAGGAGGTCATAAGGGGTCAGGATCAGGCATACGCAGTAACCTATGTTATGTTTTACTTTTATTGTTGGTGTAATATTTTGACCATACTTACTTTTCCGAACAATTTATGTATAAAATTATATCTGAACATATAATTTAATCATTATGTCTGTATTGTTATGCTCGTTTTATATTTTTTGAAAAACTCGTAAAAAGTTTGTCTGATTATAAAATAGTGGAATGATGTAATTTTAAACAAAAATGACACAAACATAGGAAGTTTTGCATATGCACATCAGAAACCTTTGCTCAACAGGTTTCACATGTGCACATGCGAAACAACCTCTAAACATGATAAAAATATGGTTTCTTCACATGTGCACGTGCGAAACAGACTGGGAGGTGACTTCGCATGTGCACTTGCGAATGGCATTTTTAGGTTTTCAGTGGTGAAAATCACTACTATTAGGTGTGAAGAGAAATCCCCTTTCATTTTTATTGTTTTTCCTTTTCTTTTCTTTTTGAGTAACCTCCAGAAAACAATAACTAGTTCAGTTGCATTAGTTTCACAACACGTGGGTATTTGAACATTTCTTTTCTTTTCTTTTTACTCTGAGGGTTATTTGTATATTTTAATGGGTTAAATATGTTATTGATTCCTATAAATATAGAGATTTTCACTTTTAATTCCTATAAAATTTTCCTTTAATGAATGATCCCTATAAAAAATTTCATCCACACAATTGGTCATTGACGTTAAATGTGACTAACGGTTGATGATGTTGTTGGTGTAAGCCCTAGAGGTCAATATTTTTGGTACTTGTATCGAATTATTTATTAATAATAAAAGGCATTTCTTTATTATGTTTGCTTTCCAAAATAATAAAGTCCCTAGAATGGTTTATTGGTTTAATGAAATGTTAAGTGTGACTTAATCATGAGATCCCATTAAACATAAGAAACTATTCTTAAAGTATCCGTAGTCAAGTTTTAATGTGAAGTGGGATAACATTAAAGCATTAAGATTATTATGAAGATAGATTGATGATCACATCTCATGGATCATAGATAAGGAGTTATCAAGTCTTGACATAGGTATGAATATTAGGAGTAATATTTATACTAGATTGACCCGCTATGAGAATACTACATAGAATGTTATGCAAAGTGTCATAAGTTATTCTCATGATGATAATGGTGTATACCACCCTTCGACCTGAAACCACTATGGACCCTAGATGTATAGTCAAGTACTTTATTGCTGATCAAACGTCATTCGTAACTGAATGACTATAAAGACGGTTGATGGGTACTTCACAAAGCATGCTAAGGGACATGAGTGACCTAGATGGAATTTGCTCATCCTGCATAACAGGATAAATGTCTAAGGGCCCAATATTGAACTGGACAAGGGTGACACAGTGTATGCCTTGTGTTCAATATAGACATGAGGGCAAAAGGGTAATTGTACAACACAAATATTATCACGGAAAAGGTTTGGTCAGATCACATGACATTTTCGTGACTTGGGTAACAGTGATGTGTTGCTAGATACCGCTCACTGTTTATTATATTAAATGTGTGATTTAATATAATTGCCAACATCGCGAAAACCTACAGGGTCACACACATAAGGACAGGTTGATGAGAGATAGAATAAATAAGGAACACCGTAAGGTACGGTGCACTTAAGTGTAATACGGAAAGTGGTAAGGTACCACGTGGATAAGTGATATATGGTACATCATAAGGTATGATGTCCATAAGCTTAATTGGGCTTTTAGCTTATAGCCTTAATTGGGCTTTTAGCTTGTAGCCCACACGAGTGATTCTATAAATAGATCCCTTGTGATGAAGCAATTTCACTTGATGCATTTTCGTTTTTGATTCTCTCTCTCACTCAAAGTTTTCGTTCGTGATCAGCTAGCACTGTGACCGGAAGCGATCTGTTCGTGTGGACTGAGTAGAGGCGTTGTTCTTCATCAACGCTCGTGATCACAACATCAAAGGTCTGAATCGCCACAAGAGGTAAATGTTTCTATCACTGACCATGCTCATTCGTAATGATCGCTAAGGAAAATTTTATATTCCGCTGCGCTTTTGATCGCAATTTTCCTTCAGATGTTACAGGCCAGGTGAAATAAAAAAAATATTGTTTTAATAGTGGACACGTGGTTATTTTAGAAAGAATGTATCACCACCCTTCAAGCCACAATTACCCACAAAAAGTTCCATTTGCTCAAATCCAAAAGGCCATTTTTCTTTAATAAATCAGTATCAGTTGTTAAACAAGTAGAAGCTGTGATATTCATTTCTAAAGTGTCACTCATATTATCCAGCAACTTCAACTCAAGTGCATCAGGAACAGAAGCAAGAGGAGTATTATCAAAAATCTGAACCCCTCTCACAAAACACCTAACTGCATCACTAAATTCATTCTGCAAAACTGCTTCATAAGGATACTTAACCAATGACATGTAATGGAACTAAATCTAATAACTCGGGATCATATCCCGATTAATAAAGAACCCGCTAAATAACAAGAAGTAAGCGGAAATCACAACCACGGTAGTGTAACCAACCATTACAAGAGCATGTGAAATGAAATAAGATCATCTTTTATAAACATTGTGATAAGTTACCATAACAACACATAGTCTTATTTCAAATAGTTCAGGCATTCTTCTTGAATTTGTTATGGAACACTTTGAAAGAGTTAATAACCAACCAAAATGGATTTGCATAAGTAGGCACCATAAACACTGTTGAAGAAGATGCTTTTGTGTTTGAGTTATTTATTGCGATTGTTCCAGAAACCAGTTTACCTTTTGAAATACTTGTGTTGATTGCTTCCTTCAATACTGGATGAAGCTTTGTCATACGTTGCCATGATTTATTGACTTCATGCAACATACTTTGTCATCCTCTGTTCCTTATCCTCTCAATCTTTTTAAATTCTTGCAACAATATTTTGGCAACTGGACAATACTCCTAAAGGATATATATGCAGAGCAAGAAGGAAATATCCATTTCATCATCTATCTTGACAGTGATAGATAATGTTGTCTCAGTTTCAAAGGAAATGGTTGAGCAACTTGATCGATTTCAATAGAGAAGAAGAAGAAGGTTTGCAGATTTGAAAATGATAAGAAAATAACAATCTTCCCACTGTTAAAACAATATTTTAAAAAAATAAAAAAATAAAAAAATTATTTCATACGTCATCAATCATTAGTGGCATATAACGTCAAGGACCAATTGTATGGATGAAAAATTTTATAAAAATTATTCTTTAAAAAAAAAATTTGTAAGAACTAAAAATGAAAATCATTATATTTATAGGGCTAATAACATAACCCTATTTTTATTAATGATATTTTAATTTAATTTATAGATTTAAAACTTTTATAAAAAAAATGATAAGGATTTT